CGATTTTAAAATCGTGGCCACGCCCATTTTCCAAAAATTTATAATATTCTTATTTTTCGTCTAAAAATTATTGTAAATATCAATTTTGAGTGAATAATCTTCAGTAGTTACTAAAATATCGCAGTTTTCGTATTTCTGAAAATTACCGATATTTGGGAGGTAGGCGTGGTTATTGTCAGCTTTTGCCCATTTTCAATACCATCCGTCCTACGCCCGAAAGAAGTGCACGTACCAAGTTTCGTTAAGATATCTCAATTTTTACTTGAGCTATCGTGTCTACAGGCGGGAGGACGGACAGACAGTCACCGCTTAATCGATTTCTCTTTTCATTCTGATCATTTATGTATACATTTGTCTGTATCTATCTCGATTCGTTTTGCTACAACAAAGTTATAATACCCTTGTGCACAAGTGCGCTCGGGTACAAAAAGTTCCTCGAACACGTGTTAGCTTATTTCTTGTATAGAACCCATAAGCAAATTTGAAGCCAATCGAAAGTGTGACACAAAATTTGGTGTTCAATATGAAAAAGAATGTCTCATATATGGTTTTAAGCAGGGACGTGAACCGGATGAAAAATTTGGTCGGTTCGATTCAGCGGTTCGAACCGTTTTTGCACTTTTGGTCAAAGCGGTTTTTTGGTCTTTGAACCGGGTTTCGGTTCGGTTCAACGGTTCGAAAAACAAAAAAATAACGCGCAAGTTTATAAGTGTCCAGTGTCAAGTGCAACAATGCGCAAAATTAAGGGTCAAGTGTCTGTCAAATGAGATGGGTTGCCTTTACATTATATATTGTCACATTGTAAACAAACATGGTAGGTATTACTATGTTTAACAAAAAGAAAAAAAAGCGGGTGCATTTATCTATTGAAAATTGATTGAAACGAACCTTTAAACCTTTATAGAAAGTGGTTCGGTTTTCGGTTCGGTTCAACGGTTCGAAAAACAAAAAAATAACGCGCAAGTTTATAAGTGTCCAGTGTCAAGTGCAACAATGCGCAAAATTAAGGGTCAAGTGTCTGTCAAATGAGATGGGTTGCCTTTACATTATATATTGTCACATTGTAAACAAACATGGTAGGTATTACTATGTTTAACAAAAAGAAAAAAAACGGGTGCATTTATCTATTGAAAATTGATTGAAACGAACCTTTAAACCTTTATAGAAAGTGGTTCGGTTTTCGGTTCGGATCAAACATTTGTGGAAAACTTCGTTTCGGTTAATGGTTCAGTTAATTAATAGAAAAAAGCGGTTTTCCGGTTCAAAACCGGTTCACGTCCCTGGTTTTAAGTGATTTGAGAACAAATTTATCAGCAGACAATTTGGGAAAATTATGTTTTTAAAAGTAAACACGCCATTGTAAACACGTTTATACATAATATGTAACATAATTTGGTTACCAAAAAAATGACACATCGAAAATAATTAATTTGGTTTTATTATTGTTATTTTTATTTGTGGAAAAACAAAAATCAAACTAGGCACAGAATTTGGCATGCACAATGAATTGGCCAGAAGACTATAGGCTGCTCCACTAGCCTAAAACTCTACAGAAAATATTTTAAAACAGAAATTAAAATAAAGAAGTTTTATTTTGTTTTCCTACACATAGAAGTCTTAAGGTGACTTTTTTCAAGGATAATTAAATTTTCTGTCATATATGGACTTTTATTTTAGGACAGAAAAATAAAAGTCCAAGTATAACTATTCCGAAAAGCCGAAAAAATATCTGTCATAATAGGACTTTTATTTCTGGTTCAAAAAATAAAAGTCATAAAATAACACATTAAGTTGAATTGAATTGTATGGGTTAAAAAATAACTGCTACTTCTTAGCTTTTGGGTCAAAATTTACAATCAAAACGAATTTGAAAAAAGCTAATACAATTAAGCATTTTGGCATTTAAAAATATATGTATGTGTGTGACAGCTTTCTCATAATGATTTTTTAGTTTAAAATTTTTTACATACAGTTATTTTCGGTCCCTGCATAAAATTTAAGCAAATGCTTTTTCTTAAAATTTCAGACCTTTTACTCAATTTATTCAAATAAATTTAAGTTAAAGGTATGCAATTTTAAGACGACGCAATTGCTTATTTTTATGCATACATTTCATTGTATGTAATTCCTTTGTATTTTTTATTTTGTTAAAAAAATATAATAAAAAAAAATTTGACGATTTTTTCGCCAAAATGACGATTTTTTTAGGGTAAAGTGACGATTTTCCAGCGAAAGCTTTCGGCAACACTGTACAGAACATTCCATAGAAATTTCTGTATTTAAATTTAATTAATGATTTAACTATACTTTAAAATTTAATTTTGAAAACGATGCATTTTGTATTTCACTTGCTCTCTATTTGAAAATATGAGTTTTCACAAAAAATTTGGACTTAGCGACTTTGCGCTCTAAGCTAGCGATATTGAGCAATTAGTTATTATTTCGCTTATAACTCTTTCCGAACCGGAAAAAACATTTCTCCCATAAAGTAAAAATGGACAATGTAAAAATTAAAAATTGGAAAATAAATAGCTCTTATAAACGGCGCAATAAATACTTATGTATTTTTCATCCATTTGGTGATATGAATCAACTTTATTCGAAAAACTTTTAACTCTTATGCTTCCGCTATTTAAGGCCAAATTAGAGTATGGCACCTTAACGCCTTAGCCATAAATAGATACCTACGGCTATGGTTGTGGCCAGTGTTGCCGCGCCGTCTCAAGAAAATGTATCCCTGACCAAGTCAAAAATGTATCCAAATGTATCCAATTTTCTTTTTTCACATATACATCTCATAATTTGTAAGAAAACCAAACATTTTCATAAAAAATACATAATTTAACCCATCCTAAGGACTTGGAATACATGTGCAAAAAATCAAATATTTGTAATTTCAATTTATAAAGTACATTTTTTGTGCATAAGTATTTTGCAAATTAAATATGAGTAGTCCACTTGCAAACAGCGTTATGTGATTTTATAATAGAAAGCCGTAAATTTGAAAAAACGACTACGACAACAAGTATCATTTAAATTGAATCTTTTCCATTATTACCTGAAAATTTGGATAAATAAGAGCCTTTTAAAATTGTAACATAAAATAACATGACATAAGATAACATTAACAGTCTATACGACCTAAAGCAGTTTTCTAAGTTCATCAGAAGATGTATAGTTTTGAAAGTTTATAAATAAGTGTGATAGCGACTTTTGGAAGAAGAGTTAACATTTGATGCTATTTTTTCAGAATATAAAAAAGATTTTGCACTGTGTTGTTAGTGGACATGAAACTACTATAAATACTGGCACGTTATCCTCCAAACACTAAAAATGGAAGAAATTTTACATAGCGCACTTTGCAAGTGGACTACTCATATAATAAATAGCAAGTACACTCTAAAAAGAGCATGTAAAACTACTACTGAAAAGTATCTATTTTTCAACAAGAATCTGTATAAATATACGTATAGGTTGTTCAGTATTTGATTTTGAACTTGAGATCTTTAAAATATACACATAAATACACAAATATAGAATGTTTAAAATTGCAAAAATTTTCAAAATACAAATACATTTCCTACTAATAATAAACATTACTTTATTTTAAACATTTTATGTGTAATTTTGCTCTTGCGACAAATTCGTTATGTAAAAGTAAACAGGCAATGATTAATTTTATTACAAGGCGTGCAAATTTGCACACATTAAAAGAGGAAACTGGTTACCTCTATCAATATGCGCAAATAAACAAAAATTTTTTAGAGTGTATTTAAAGTCTTTTCAGTAAAATTCATAAAAGTTTCCTTAAATAAATCAAATTTAGTTTTTTAAACTACATTGAAATCTTCTTTCTTTTTAAATTAACAAATGAAAATATGTGATATGAAAGAGATTACTACAGAAAGAGTATAATTTACTTTATATATATCGTCGTTTAAAGTACAAAACCGCGTATCGTCATTCTGCAAAACCGCGTAACTGACATTTGCTGCCAAAAATTGGATTTGCTCACACAAGCTCTTGGCTCAATCCTTATCCATTCGTCCTGAAATATACTAGCCAGAAATGCGATTGCTTTATAAAAAAGAGAACCATTTTGAAATATAAGTGTTTTTACTCTCTAGAAAATAATTTATGCAACGTCACATACGCGGTTTTGCATTATCTTGATACGCGGTTTTGCATTTCGTTGATTCGCGGTTTTGTACTTTAAACGACGATTTGTATATTAAGATCTTGCATAAAGCATCATTTTAAGCTAATTAAAGCAATTGCGCTTATACCTATTTTGGTGAGATCTCTTCATATGTTCATTGCTTCGTTCACAAAAAATAAAATGCTTTAATTTCACGCTTAAGTAGCGATTCTTTATACGTTTAGAAAACGTAATGCTTTCTACCATCTTTAATGAAAATCAATTTTTGAACGAAAAAAACTTTATAGGAAATATGAAATTTTGGCCTATTTAAAAAAGTAACCACCTTTATACTGACCGGAAAAAATAATTATCCAGCAAAAATTCGTCTAAAAATGTATCCAATTGGATCTCTTTAGATCCAAACGGCATCCCTGGTTGTGGCTCTGGCGTTATATATAGTACGGCACCAATAATCGTTAGAGAGCTGCGCGTTTTAACGGAACATTTAAATGCTATGGTTATGGCTATGGTATGGCGCAAATAACCAAAAAACACTACCGGCTTCAATGTTTGTATAACAATTTAGCACTACATTTAGTTTATTCATGATCCAATGATCGGAATGTAACGAAATTTTATTGGGTCAGGTCTCTCCTTCCGATATAAAAATGTGTGGAAAATAATTCACGTGGTCCAAAGTTATCTTATAAAAAAAAACATACGAAGAATATATAACTCCCTCCTCTTTTTTGAAATTAGTTACAAATAGCAAGCTTACGCTCTTGGTGTCCACCTTTTTGCATAAAATATTTTCAGTTTGATCACAGTATTTTTGTAACTAGAATCAGAGGTAACATACTCTTAACGCTACAGTTGTGTACTCGGATAATTTGGAAACATCCACCGTCAACTTGCGCAAAAGTTTCAGTAACATAGCAGGTTGCATCTGGGATGTAAGGGCTACCAAGAAATCTGAAACTGCCTCTCTCTGGCCCTTCGTGAGCATACGGTTCTTAGATAATCTATACACAGTGTGCAACGTTGCATCCAAGAGGCTGGCATAATTCTCGGCCTCATTGTAAAACTTTGAATGTTTTATGAGTAGAGGCAGTATTGAGTTGCCGATATACCGGTTCATCGAAAGGGCCATGTCACTTTCAGAACCATCACTCTTATCAAGAATAGTGGCGGTTCGTAAATCGGGAAGAAAAGCATCTTCTAGCAAACGGTAAAATAGGTCTTGATTTTCAATACCGTAAACTCGCTCCAGGAACAGAACTATGCTCTGTTTATTGTTCGGCAGAAGTCCTGATGGCATATCAGACTTGGGTTTTTCTTCTCCTGGCGCCGTTTGCGTCAGTGTAAATTTTAAACTTAAGACACCTTGAAGGTCCTCCAGTGGCACCAGAGATCTCAAAATAGCTCTAGCCCTCAGTGATTCGTTTTTACCCTGCTCAATAACGGAAGCATCGGGTGCACATCTGCCAAGAAGATCCACAAGTGTACAATAAAAGTTAAGAATCGCTGCGCCTGTATCAATATAGTCTTCATCTTCATCTCCTTCTGGCAATGGATGTGTGAAATTTAAGCCAGCAATTGTGCCCTCTGCCTCATCTTGCATATTGCATCTATCCGCAATGCGTTCGGACATGCGATTTGCTTCGACTATTGCGCGAAATAGACCTTCCCCTTCTCCTCTTAGAGCCGGCCCTAAGCATTCTGGACGTCGGATAAGAAGACGAATGACAAGGTTTGCGTTCTCCTCAACACTTTCGCCATTCACCCATACACAATAACGAAGGAAGTCCAGATAACGTTCTCCTTCTACCGGATCCCATCCCAGATCTGGATACCCCTTTTCCACCAACTCCGAATTGCTCTGCAATCCGCATCTGGACAGATAAACTGCGATTTTCTCTAAATAATGTTCTCTAAGTGCTAGAGCCAATTCTGTGTTCTCCATCAAACTTGAATATGCCACATCTAAAGGAGTGGAACCCCGCAAGCTGGGCCGTGCCAACAAAATATTGGCATTGTCCAATAGAAAATCGAAGTGATCAAACATGGCCTTTTGATTCTGACGGCCTGTTCTACAAAAATAACATAGAAAACGACAGCAACCAACAACCATTTCATGAGAGGTGTCTTTTTCTTTTGGTGGCGCTCCTTCTACACCTTCGGTTTGTGATGGAGCGTCACTTTGTGCCTGTGCCCGGCGTCCCAACGTATTCATCATAACAGCCATTACGTTCTCATGAATCCTTAATATTCGTATAAGGTCAGGATGTTGAAAGAAGGTCGCATTATTTACTAATTTCCAAAGTCGCTTCCTCATAAGTTCTTCCTCTTCTTGACTCATTTGTACTGGAAGCAAAGCACGAATTTGGCTTAAGCCTACCCACATTTCCGCCACATCATCCCTAGCTCTGTTGTTGATGACATAAGTTTTACCAAGGGCTCGAACCAGCTCGCCAACGGTGTCATATTGACGGACCAATAAGCTGAACATCTCTCTTACAAGCTTTGGATTTTCTATTTGTGATTCTTCAGCCCAGCTAACAATAGTTTTTATTAACACTTTGCGGAAAACCTCCTCGGGAGTTTTCTTTTCTGGTTCTTCAACTTCCTTTGGTCCTTCTTCGAGTTCTTTTACTGTATTTATAAAGTTATAAATCTTCGTAATTGGTCCTGTTTTTACTTCCTCAATGGCGTTGCTGTCGACTTCATCGGGCTCTTGTAAAGCATTAAGGGACACCTTTTTCATGAGGCTATCATGAAAGTCATACAACCTGCTCCTTAAGTCCAAACCACAGGTGCAATTTTCCTGATCATCTGATTCGAGATTCTTAAAACACAATATTTGATTCATCTGTTCTCTAGGCGGGCAACGGAATTCTTTAGTTTTTTTAGCAGCAACAGCACTAGGCAGATCTGATTGTTTTATTTCAATATACCGTCTAAGTTGATCTGCTTGCAAATCACCAACAAAATCATGGGAAAAGGATATGATACTTTCAACTCGATGCCTAAGTTGTATATCATAAAGATGATGGAGAAGATAACACATCTGAAGTTTAGCGCCTTCTGCCATTTTCATTGTTAACAATCCCTTCCGATGTTCATCTTTGCCATCTACAAAATAAGTTGCATATAAGGAATTAAAAATACAGAAACATTATTTTTAAGTTTTAATTTAACTAAACATACATACATACATATCGACGCCTCCAAACCAAACCATGCCAAGTAACTTTAGACATATTCAGACCAGTGATCGGACTTTAAAAAAATTCTGTGTGGTAGAATCTGGGAAAAAATGTTGAAGATTAAAAAAAAAATGTGATAGATCTCTGGGTTTGGATCAAACTTTGTACAAAAATTAAAAAACTTCTGCAAGGTTTCACCTAAATGGCAAACTTTTTAATAAGACTCTAAAAAAATTTAATTTTAGTATAATAAAGTGCAAGATTGAAGATGCTAAAAATTGCGTTGAGTTTTAAAAATTTTTTTCCTTCACAGTGTAAAGCAGTTCCTACAATATTAAGATATTTTTTGAACATATTTTAAGAGATTTATGCAACCTTGCGGAGTGCTGCCAGCTTTTCTTTTTATCACATCACGAAGTAGCGAACAAATGTGGCACGTTCCAGAAACAGCTAATTGGGATTTGCCGATTTTGATAATTCTCAAGTAAAAGTAAACAACGCCTCAGAAACCTTAGATGCACTTAAATTTGCTAATACTTTCACAAAAATCGCCGGTTTTTAACATTTTCGCTATTAATTCTTTTTATAAATCATATATTTTACAATTTAACACAATAAAGGGCGTTTCCTGTCGAACAATTGATTACTGAGAAAATTTACTATTTTACAGTTTATTTTATCCTCCCATTCGGCTTTGTTTACTTTTACTTGAGAAATTTCGTCGTCGCCGTGAATGCGGAATCTTGTATTATATCATTCTTGTTACCATATCGTGTAAAATTATGAAAGTTATGTCAAGCAAAAATAAAACTACTCAAAAACGCGAATATGTTGTAGATTTCAGACCTTGAGTGGTAGATGTGGTAGATGCTCAAAAAAGTGGCAGATCTACCACAATGTGGTAGAAGTCCGATCACTGATTCTGACTTAGCACAACATGATTTGGAGGCGTGAATTTATCCAGTATGCGCATTTACAGATATGCCCAGCCACTTAGCGCACCTGTACACCAAAGCCAAATCCGTTAAAAAATCGGGATGCAGATACTTTATCAAACAAATTTTATATTAACATTTTGTCTTACTTATTACATTATTCAACCAATATAAAAAGGTCAAATATGATTCGCTGATAAGTCTCTTTAACTGAATAACTGACTATCCATCTAAAATGCCTCGGTCACGCATTCGGCTAAATAGAATTCGTGGCTATTAAAGAGGCAAAATTTGAAACCATAATTTATATTAAAAATGTACTTACTTCCTCAGTATTTTATATTATAATCCAGAGTTTTATTTACTGCCTCATCTTCACGCCCCTGACTTCTTCAAGCTTCCCCGATCTTGCTCTTGGGATGGGGTACCACGCTTCCAGGACAACGTGCACATTTAAAAAAAGTTTAAGATTAAGGTCAAATCTCTGAATTGGACATTACAAATTCCAAGTTTTTCCTCCATAAGCCAGTCCGGCCTGGCTCCTGCGGGGGCGTAAGGTCATTATCCTTCGTAAAAGTCCAAACTGGAGTCATGGATATTACTCAACTTTATTTCGATGGCTGAGTGGAAGATCGACCTATATCGCAGCCGGTTCGAAAACGCCCTATCTTAGAAAACTTTTCAAGAACGCCCCACTTCAGAATTTGATTGGAAAACACCCTATCTCAGAATTTTGTTGAAGAACGCCCTATCTCCGAACTCGGTTCAAAAGCACCCTATCTCAAATGAAAATACAATGAAAATAAGTTGAGATAGGGCGTTTTTGAATCGGCAGCTGGGATAGGACGTTATTCAACAAAATTCTGAGATAGGGTGTTTTCCAATCAAATTCTGAAGTGGAGCGTTCTTGAAAAGTTTTCTGAGATAGAACGATGTTGAAATTTTTCTGAGATAGGGCGTTTTCATACTAGCTGCCGAGATAGGTCTTTCTTCCACTCAGCCATCGATTTGTAAATGTTTGCAAATGATAAAACTGACCCACTTTTACTTTTATTAGTAGGATCAGTCAAATGCCATTCCGGAAAAACGCCTAAAATCCATCATTCTATATAGGCCTGCTTTATAGTTCTTGAAAAGTAGTTGAAAAGTGGGCCAGTTTCATTATTTGCAAACACTTAAAAATAACGTTTAATTTGGAATTACCAATTCTGAGATTTGAGCTGAATCTTATTGATTGGCGTTATTTTCAAAATATTACCGCAAACTATTTTTTTTTAATGTTCATGTTGTCCTGGAACCGTGCTACCCCATGCCAAGAAGAAAATGGGGTACGCTTGTAAAAGTCAGTGGCGCGGAGACGAGGCAGTTAATACAAATCTGGTATATAATACAAAATACTGAGGACGTAAGCATTTTGTAATACAAATTATGATTTGAAATTTTACCTCTTTAATGGCCACGCAATTTCGTAACCGAAATGCGCTATATTAGCGAATTATAGTTAACTTCTTTTATATTGGTTGAATAAAGTAATAACCCTGCAGTAAATTGAATTAATTTAAAAGTAATTTATAAACTACTTTATTTTCAATGACAACTAATTGAAATTCTCGTTATTTTACCTGCAACGAACTCATTTATTTAACATGGCGATGTCCTAGGAAGCAGTCAATTGACTTTTCCTGCATGTATTTTCAACTACTTTAAAATGAATTTGGCTTAAACAACTTCAAAGTCAGTATGTTTCGTTTGAATGCGCTTTCGTTCTGCACTTCACACAGATGTTTTTTCATAACTAAGAAAAACCGAAATTAAAAAAGTAAAATTAAATGTGATTTGAACATGGGCATTCTTGGCTGCGACCAACTGTAGCAAACATCTTTGCACGCTCAGCTACAGCCAGACATGTAAATGTGCTTTCAAATGTTCAGTTTGAATTGTGTGTAAGCAGAAAGTCGACTGTCCGACTCTGCATTTAATTTAAACTACTTTAAAATGAATTTGGTTTACACAACTTCAAAGTCAGTATGTTTCTTTTGAATACGCTTGCGTTCTGGACTTCACAGATGCTTTTTCATACTTCCAAGACACAAATTGTTTTTTTTTGGCAAAAAGAGTATAAAAATTCGAAACATTTACTCATTGAATTTGTTTTAAAGTAGTCTTTCAATTAGTTGATTAAAAAAAGAATCACTTCTTTCCGTCAGAGCAGTAAGAAAATATGTTAAAAAAAGTATCTACATTTTTTAACGGATTTGCCTTTGAGGTACAGGTGCGCTAAATGGTTGGCCATAGCTGTATATGTATACATTAGGGTGGTCCTAAAATGCATGTGGGAAAAAGTAAAGTCGGAATTTTTATGCTCTCACCCCCTAGGATTGTTCTATACCGAAAAAATATATCCCTACTGCGAAATCATAAAATATTTAGAGGTCGCTCAAAGTTAGGGTAGCCAGATATTTAATGACATAATCAGTACAGTTGGGATCAAAAATCAGTACAAATCCATAAAAATCACCTTATTTTTGAGCGTATTTGTCGTTCTTAAAGCTTAGTACCCAGGGCATGAATCACGTAACTTTGAAACGATACTGGCAAAACGATTTCGTCAAAACACTTATTCATATATTTGTGTTGCTGTTACGTGTTATTGTTACTGTTGCGTGAAGCTAAATTGGAATTGAGTTAACGACATCGCACAAACGATCGAACAATTTTTGGTTTTAATGAAGCAAGACAATCTCAGCACGATATCGTCCAGACGATTTTCGTCATACGTGATTCTTACCCAGCTCTTAAGAAAACGGTCAAGAAAAATATTGCTATTATTTCGTTGTGTGTCCAAGTAATTTTGAAATAATGGATCGGGCATATACTTCTGTTGCAAACCAGGGATGCCAACTCTATTAAGACTAATTCTCCCAAATTCCTGAAAAAATTCCCCCACTTTCAATGGTATCCCCCAAATTATATTTACATTTAAAGCACTTCACTCTCATTTCTGAGTACATTTCGTAAAGCATATCTGTGAACCAGACCTTAAAAATTCGAATAACTACGAGAAAATGCAACTCAGATTTCGAAAACATGTACGAATGACGCTACTCTCGGTTCGATGGAAGAAATTCAAATTAAACGTGTCAGTTGAGCCAAGAGAAAGCACCAATTCGGTAACGCGCACTTGTATGAGCTCTCGTCAAATATAATTTTTTATGAAATATAATTTTATCGCAATACTTCTGCTCAACTTAAAATTAGCGAATAAATATTGTTAGCCACGAAGGCTTTTAAAACGGGTGTTTCATTTCATCGCTACTTTTGCCGACATTAAGTTTACCGAATTGATTTCGGAGAAGTTTAGCGTACAAGCCATCCAGTTAAATCAGAAGGCAGACAAACGCCAGTCATTTAATCTTACATAAAGTTTTCAGTCATCAAGTTCTACAGAAGTTAAACTAATAGGCAGAAAGCGGAATTGATTCGGATTTTAATGTACCAGATATAACGCGCCGCATTTCATAAGCTTTTAAGTACCGTCTCGTCAAATTCCGTCAAATCGCCAGAACTTGATGAGGCTTCACAAAGCTTTGCATGGCAATGCCAGACGTGTTGCTTCTTCGCTTTTAGTTTTCCCAGATAACGTGCCACAAGTTATCGAAGAATTAAAATTTAATTTTGGTCGTCCTGAATTGTTAACTCGTGCACAATTGCAAAAGATTCAACAGTTTCCTGTTATTACCGAAAGTCATCTTGAGCAAATAGTGAGTTTCTCAAACCAGGTCCGTAATATTGTCGCTTTCTTAAGGTCAGCGAACTGTGAGCACCACTTGCTTAATCCAATGCGTTTAGAAGAACTACACCTTTTCCAAGAGTACTTCAGAAAGCGTCAAATGTATTTCATNGCAAAAAGAGTATAAAAATTCGAAACATTTACTCATTGAATTTGTTTTAAAGTAGTCTTTCAATTAGTTGATTAAAAAAAGAATCACTT